ATATACTTTTGGTACATGGAGGACACCATTACTTATAACCATCTTATTTGAAATCTGATAGCTTAAGTGTTTCACAAAGTATGAGAAATTTTATTTTGAACTTTGAGCTTCGTCAATGAAAAAAATGCAGCCATCCAATTTTACATCCAATAGTCAAGATTATTTGTGACCACCTTGTACAAAAGGTAAATGGTCTCATTATATACTTTTCCATATATATCGATCTTTGTAATACATTTTAAGCATTAAGATGTGACATTGATGGTTTAAAGCAAAGTTTTAAAAATCAGTAATCTAGATCAAGATGGTTGATTAAGATCCTGCTAAGTATTAGGAACTAGCCAGTTTTCTTCATGAACTAGCCTTTTCTAACCATTTATTTGGCAGAACTAGCCAATTTCGTTATTCACTAATTTTTTTAAATTTTTTTGATTTGCTAGTTCAATAGTTTGCATAGCCTATCTACACTGCCGATTTGAACTGATTTTCTTAGGGGGCGATCTTGGTCACCGATATGTATTTTAAACATTAATTTAAGGGTGTGGTCTACACAAGGTTGCAACTTTAAACAATCAAATTAAGGTGTGCCTCTAAATTTTATCATAAGATGTAATTTTGATGCCAAAATTCTTAGGACAACTTTAAAATTTATTTTTATCTCTACTTACAAAATTTTAAACTCTAAAAATGTTTCAAATCAAGCACATATATATAAATACATGAAAATCTTGAAATTGAACGATCCAGATAATTTGTTGCAAAATGTACTACTTTTTAAACTCCATTTTTTTTTCTTTTTTCAAAACCATACATTTCGATATCGAGATAATCAATTAGAGAGTTTTTTAACATTAAAAACTGACATTTTTTTTTATGGAATTTTGAGATGCATCTTAATTCTATGTTTTCAAATTACAACCTTACATAAACTTTTTCCATAACTTAATGTGATTATGACCATGTACCAAATGAAAATGGTCTCATACTATAGAACAATTGTTTCATGCTGCCCAGAGCTATAAAACATCCATTTCAAAGATAGATAAAAATAGCCGTTCAAAAACAATTATAACTAACAAATGTTTTTTTTAAAATAATTATTATTTTATTTTTAATTATTTTTTTTCATATTCATAATCTTCATGCCGAAGATTATATATTCTCCAAAAATTAAAATCAAATTATATTTAACAATATATTTATTGCCAAGCTCGCATATTTACAATATGCGGCTGGCCGCATACCGACCACGTCCAATAATATACTATATCATCGTAACGGTATGAAGTGATCGCCCCGCGGGAGTACGTGAAAGACCCTCGAAACGCAACGCGAAGACTAGCATTCACGGATACGCGTCGCTTGAAAGGCCACGTTGCTTCTCTGTATCAGGTGCCGCCGACTCCTTCCCCACCCCCCCCTCTTCTCTCCTCTCTGAGCGGCTAGGGCTTCAAAACCTGAACCTCTTTTGCTTTGCCGCCAAATTTCAAACCCTAATTTGTAGCAGTTGTCTTTCTTTCTCTCTGAACTAGAGATCCGATGTGTGGTTAGTGGTCAATAATTCAAATTTCAATCTTCTGCTTTTCCCCTTTCTCTCTAAAAGAATAACCAAAATTCTCCTCTCTCTACATCCTCTAAATCTCCGGTTTTTGCCCTAGTTTGTGAGTGATGGGTATGGAAAAGCCAAACGACATTGCAATTCCTCCGTTTTTGACCAAGACCTATGATATGGTAGATGAACCAACTACAAATTCAATGGTGTCCTGGTCCCCAAGTGGCACTAGCTTCGTCATATGGGATCCACCTGCTTTTTCCCAAAACCTTCTACCAAAGCACTTCAAACACAGGAATTTCGCGAGTTTTGTCCGTCAATTGAACACATATGTAAGTGCTCCTTGTTTTTTTCAATTATTTGGGTAAATCACGTGTAAGTGCTCTCCCTCTTCATCGTTGTGGAAATTCGCACTGGATTTGTGATTATTGATAGGTGGATATTTTACCTGAATGTCTTTAGCTGTATTCGAGGTTTTATACGTGACTTGATTCGAATATGTTGTGTTTGTGAACAATAAAGAAAATTTCGTGGTTGTTGTGACTTGTGAATTATGTTAGTGGACACCAATGTATTTCTTGTATCTTACGCTTGAAAGCTTTATGCTAAAATTTGAAATTACAAGGGAGAAAGAAATATGAGAAAATATCTGTAAAAGAAAACTCGAAGTAAACTCTATTAATTTTAATCCAAGGCATAAAATGATATTTGTAGCAGAAAACCAGACATGAAAACGAAAAAACCGAAAAATTGAAAAGAAATCTAAAAACTTGTACCAAAATCACAATGAACAATAATGGCCGAACAATAGGAAACAGAAGAAACTAAAAGGGAAGCAATCAAAAGGAGAATCGAGAAAGGTGTAATAATAAATGAAAGAAAAATATTAACAATAAATATCAGAAATTTTTTAATTGAAGCTAAAAGGGAGAAATAGGGCGTACAGAACTTTGCACATTGACAAGCACAATTGCACTTGTGTGTAGCGTGGATTTATATTTATGTGCACAGGACTCTATCTCTCTCTCTCTCTCTCTCTCTCTCTCTCTCTCTCTTTCTCTGTGTGTCTCTCTCTAGACTGTCTTTTTAGATGTACAATTCTCCTTCCCTCTCATATGTTGATGCATAGATGTGGATACATGCATATACATAGGTCTAGATACATGTGACAACTACTTTGTTGATTACAAAGCTGCTTTTTTTTTTTTGAATCACCATTACATGGGATGGACTTTATATGAAGTTCTACTCTTTTAATATCCATCTTGACATGATTTGCGGGGACAAGTTCCTCTCATTAGATCTCTATTACGCAATATTGTTTAGGTGATACATTTAAATAGTTGCAGACAGTTGAGTTTGGTGAATCAATGTGGGATGCTTTTAATCTAATATGAGGGACTAATATGATGAGTGGAGAGATTATGGAATGACTATAGAGTGTGAAATAAATCAAATTGGGGGGCATGTCTTAGGACATAGATTGCCACAGTCACGCATTCGAGCAAGAGCCTTTCTTTGATATGGAAATATAGGGCCGGAATCTATGTGTTATCAGGAGATGTTTCTAATGCTATTATGAGGGACTGGATTGTTTTTCAATCTAGTTTCCATGTCTTTGACTGCAGTTTGCCTTCCTGAGCTCAAATGGGTATGGGCCAAATGGATTATCTTCTTGGATCACTCTTCCTACCTAAAAGGAGGTACAAATGCTATCATTCCCAACAAAGAAGTTTCATGTCCTGTATTTTCACATTTTTCGAAAAGTTCCATGTTCTATTCAAATGCCTAAGTGCCATTTGTTGATACTATTTAGGGGAAGACAAGTCCAAGACCTAGAAAAGGAGTCTATTTGAAAAAAACTTAATGACATTATTTTCTCTGGGATGTGTTTGCATACAAATCCCCATAATGCTACTTTCCATAAGGACATTAGGCATTTGAAATGATAGAAAAATTTCAAACCATTGATGAACTCATGTTGACAAACGCATTAGGTAACATTGGATCACCAGATAGGGATGTGCAACACCAAGGAGAAGTGCTCACTAAGATTCTACTCCAGATCCAAGTGCTTCTCTTGTTTTTTCCATTACTTGGCTAAGAGAAAAAAAGCTGTGCACCTTATGGAGTGCTCTTCTAAATAAGGTGCTCTTCTAAATAAAATTCAAACTAGTTGAGTTGATTGAGAGGACAAGTCAATGATAGCTGAGTAATTGATCCAAATGCATGGGAGATACTTATAAGAACACATTTGCTCTAGCTGCTTAATAAATGCTATGTGATGCAAGCCTTCGCTGCCTATGAAGATAGGCACTTGTAACAATTAGATTCCAAGAAAAATTGTTGCATGTCAACTTGCAAGAAGAAGATTATATGTACCACTACCCAGGCCTTCTAAGTAATTGCTGTGGGGTGTAGTATACATTTTGAGTAAAGCTATCCATGGGTTTGGGCATTCTTCAGGGATTAGTTTGAGATCATTAGAGCAACATTTACAATGCTTGGGTTTAGGAGAAACAATTTGAACTAATCAATTTTTGTGAGGAGGCAAGGGTTGACAGTATTATTAGTATTTGTTGATGACTTGTAGTTAAGGGACAATTTAGAAAGCAAAGGGACAATTTAGAAAGCAGAGAACTTTGGGCTTATGTGAAAATAGAATTTGACATAAAGGATATGTGAAAAGTTGAACTAATGAGATCAATTGAGGGTATTTTTATTTCCCATACTTCAGATCTCTCTAAGAAAACGGATGAGTTTTGATTCTTTCCCGATGTATTCACCTAATTCAACTCTTAACTCTATCTAATGGAACACATTGAAGGGACATGAGGGTACGGACAATTAGCTGGAAATCTTAATTCTTTCAGCAGTATTGATCTCCAAGTCACTTCTGTGCAGCAGTGTGCTTATGTACCGCTTTTGATACATATGAGGGGTGTCTATGGAATATCGAGGTGGCTTAATAGAAATCCAGGTCATTGTGTCTTAATTTCAGATGAAAAGAATCTTCTTCTTTTAAGATACATTGATACCAAATGGGCTAGTGCTTTGCATGATTAGTAGTTAACTTGAGGTGTTTTGTGCTTTTTTGAAGCGATTAACTGTTATGTGTTTTGTGCTTTTCTTAGAGGCAACCTTGAAACTTGGAAAAGTAAGAGACTCTGTTCAATCTATTGCCGAGGCAGAGTAAAGGGCTATGGCCTCTTACGCATGTAAAATGGTATATCTATAAGCCTTGATGAAGGAGATTGGTATTATGGTTGAGTACCCTATGAAAATGCATTCTGTTAATCCTATAGTCATACACATACCTGCATCCCTTGTTCCATTCGCAGACAAATGTTATAGAATTGATTAAATAGACGCTCGTTAGAAAGGTAAATCGTCCTTCCCTCTAGAGAAAGGATGATCAACTAGTGGATATATTCCCCATAGTTTGGAAACCAGGAGATTGCAATACCTCTTGGCAAGTTGGAATGGAGATCCATGCGTCAACTTGAGGTGTAGAGTTAAGAGTACCTATATTGTTTTTGAGGATCTTTTTGTCTTCCATTGCATTCTTGTGCCCTTTAAATTTTAGTATGTAATTTAACTAAGCCTTGTCTTTCTCCTATCGTGAGGGCATTTTCTTTTCTTCTCTTTTTTAGTTTCTTTTTTTTTTTTTATTGAGGAGAAGGCGGGGGGAATGTGGGGGAAGGTAACCGGGTAGCTCAGCTGGGCTCCAACCTGCAACCTCAATGTCACATATTGATTGTGCTGTCAAGTCGAGCTGTCAAGTCGAGCTATAGATTGAACCCAAAAAAAAGCACTGTTCTGTGCATAAAAAAATTCAACTTCAGATGTTTTATATACCCCACATTGGGTTCACGACTCACAGTGTAAGACAAAAATACAGAACACAAGTGTTTGTGTGTCATCATCATTTTTAGTCTTCATTGTGCACTGTTGGTTTCTTCCTACATCACATCCTCCTATATAGATCATCTGCGATGCTGTATTGCCCTCTCTGCCTTGGAATTACGATTATTTTCACCCTCTAAGATTTCATTCCTAGAGAAAAGACTCCTAATAGGTGCCTCTAGTTTAGGCAATTATAAGTGGCAGCCCCCCTCCCCTCTTGCCCCAAAACAACAAAGAAAAAAAGAAAACGAAAAAAAACTCCCCTACCATATTGACTGACACCCCCATCCTTCTGTTATGTTCTACCATTTCTAATACATCTATAATAAGCTCCTCTTATACATCATCATATTTTTCTATCTCTATTCTAGCCACATGAGCATGCTTAGGCCATTTGTCCATCTTATGTAACCCCGCCCTGCACCCTCATCCCAAAACAAGAAAAAAACCAAAAAAAAACCTTCTTGCACAAGGAAAATGCTAATATCAGAGAAACTAAAAAAGAGAAGAGAGAGAAAAGAGGAAACTGAAAGGACTCATTTGTCCGTACACCAACATCCAACTACTATTTAATCTAAAGACCCGGTCTGGTGGTCCGACAAATCTGTGACTGAGGACATTTCTAAAGACCCCCAAATATAGCCAGAAAGGACCTAGAGTGTACATAAAAGAGGTGAAAGAAAGAAACTGAAGATCATGTTTAATATCCTTATGATGGGTGTGAGCATGAAAGAGCTGGGCAGAAATCAGTTGGAAACAATTAAAACCAGTGAAACAACAAGCTGAGGATTAAATCCCAGTGCAGGTATAGCTCAGCTTATTTGGAAGCTGGGAGAATTTCTTTAAATATTTGGGAATCTAGCGAAAACATCTTTGCTATGAAATATTATAAACCCTTTTGTTTATTTTATAGTTATTTGTATGGAATTGTGTCATGGAACAATATTTTGTCAAATAAAAGGAAAAAACAAAAAGAACTCTGGAATGAAAAAGTTACACAAATCACTGTGTGTGGATGCAAAAATTGGTCAAGGACACCTTGATTGAACAATGGACAAGTTATATTTTTGATGATCTAGACATGGAGGAATATTTAGTTGCTACCTTCTTGATTGATCTAGATGTGGAAGATTATTCAGTTGCGACGATGAAATTGGAAGCAAAGTGCCATTACAAAGTCAGAAAAACTAAAAAAAGAGTGTGCCATATGCTAGTCGGTTTTTTCATGATAGGAAAAGTTTCATTGGGACAAGTATAGCTTTACAGAGATCCATTGTGGCACAAGATATGATATTCATGTATTTTACTTCAGAAGAGAAGGTGTCTTACTCTTTCCAAAAGCAAGTGAAGCAATGCGGTTTATGTCTCACAAAATAGCCAGCAATTCCAAGGATGTGCACAAGGAGAGAAGCATGCTTATTTCTTATTTACCATGTGTGTATATACAAGTTGTCTCTGTATTTCTTTCCTTCCCTTGTGCATTGTACTATTATATCTTGTTTTGTCACACTCTTATCTACAAGTTGTCTCTGTATTTCTTTCCTTCCCTTGTGCATTGTACTATTATATCTTGTTTTGTCACACTCTTATCTACAAGTTGTGTCTCTGTATTCTTTCCTTCCCTTGTGCATCCTCATAGAATAATGAACTGGATGGATGCTTCATCATTCTTCCACACATAAGAAATATTGGTGTTTCTGTTTCAGACTTTTTGTTCTATAAACTGTTCGTAGGGACATGGAATAATCTAGGGATCTGGCTAACTCAGTGATCATTCTAACACATCCTCAATTATCAATGTACCATTAGAGGTCTTAATCATGTCCAATTGCCTTCTACATTTAGTGGACTTACGAAGGAAGATGTAGAACCTCGAGGAGGCCTTGGATTTTACCTCCATTGAGTTGACAATCCAAATCAATCTTGCATGTGCCGCCTTGACTCCCCCAAGCACCTTTCTGATCGGTATCTGAGAAACCCTCACAGCTTCCACTGAGAGAGGCTTTGCTGCCTCCTAGAATTTTCTCCAGCATTGCATTGATATATTTCTAGCCTTATCTTGATCTAGTTGTTCGAAGTAATTCATGGCCATTATTAGTTATTCAGAATTGTGTAATAGGGTGACAGTGAATTAAAGGGAGGAATGTAGTTCTTGTTTGATCAATATAGTGATGCATGTAAGGTTAAGATCGACGCCTGGTTCAAATGACAGGCGCTGTTTTCTCCTTGTTATGTCATTATTTTAAGAATGAAATAACAGTCCAAGGAGTTCATTTTTTTCATTCTCTTTCTGTTGTTTTCTCATTTCTTTTATATCTGTGTGTATAGCATGGCATGACGCTCGGTTTGTTGCAAATAATGATTCTTTATAACTGAGTTCCGGTTCTTTTCTTTTGATGAATGAGTTCCTTATAAATTGGTGTGGAGACATTCTCAATTGTATTGGATCTCGTTTCTTCTTTTTGGTCGATTCTTGCTGTTCATCTCATTGATTGTTTGCTTCTGATATTGTTGGACCAGGGTTTTAGGAAAGTTGATCCAGACCGCTGGGAATTTGCAAATGAAGGATTTCTTAGGGGACAAAAACATCTATTGAAGAGCATCTCCAGAAGAAAATCCCCTAACAATACAGAACAAAAACAGTCTCAAGGAAAAAACACACTAAGCGGACACAATACTGAACAAAAACAATCTCAAAAAAAGTGCATGCCCAATGGAGCATGTACTGACGTCCAAAAGTTTGATTGTTTGGAGCTCATGGAGGAAATAGAGATTCTCAAAAGGGCCAAGAACTCTCTTACTCAAGAAATGTTGAGGTTGAGCCAAGAACACAAGACCACTGAGCACGAATTGCATACATTTAAGCAGCGTCTCAAAGACATGGAACTTCACCAGCAACAAATGATCTCATTCTTCGTCAAGGCCATGCAAAACCCAGGCTTTTTTGCACAAATTTTGCAACAAAATGAGAACTGGCAAATTGTGGAAGTTAACAAGAAAAGGAGGCTGCCCCTGAATACCCAAAGTACCCCTCCTCTTGATGGACAGATGGTGAAGTACCAACCCCTTATCAATGAGGCAGCGAGGGCTATGCTTATGCAGTTAATGAATACCGACTGGTCCCATAAACTCGATACTTCCTCAAATGGCCAAGAGAATTTTGTGATCAATCTCCCTTCTTTGCCTTCTTTACCTACTATTGATGCTCTCCCTGACTTGATGGGGTCCACATCTTCGAGCCAAGTGTCTCAAATACAAGAAAAGGAGCCAAATGGGATTCGACCAACAATGTCAGGAATTGTTGATTCAATGGGAAGTTCATTAGATCGAGATTCTTTGGTGGGGTCCCCATCTTCAATTCAAGTGCCGCAAGTACAAGAGGCAGTGCCAAATGGTAGCTACCCAACAATATCAGGAAGCCTTGATTCAACGAACAGAATGATTGTGGATCGTACTTCGTGGTCACATGGAGATTCTTTGGGGGAGTCCAAATTTCCGAGCCAAATGTCCCTAGTACAAGAGGAGTTCAATGGAAACCACCCAACAGGATCAGGAAACCTTGATTCCTTTGACAAAATGGTCATGGATAATTCTTTGGAACTGGATGGAGATGATGGGATGCCTAATTTGCCGGGCATAAATGATGTCTTTTGGGAACAGTTTTTTGCTGAAAACCCGTTCTCAGAAGATGCTATGGAGATGGAGGATGAGGTTCATGAGATTGAAGATGGTGAGGAGTTTGATTTGATAGAGAGAGGGAGTGGTGGGGATACGGCTCGAAAGTTGGAACACCTGACCAAACAGTTGGAGTTGCTCACTTCTGAAAAGAACGCAAGTTAAATGGATCTCAAGATCTTACTTGAGGTTTTCCTTCGAAGTTTTGTGCTTGCTGGTTAGCATTTTATAAAAACGAAAATGCGAAGGAAAACTTCACTTTTGGCCTATTTTACTCGGCTCTATATGATATGGTCCAAGTTACGCTGTTCAGCTGTTGAAAATATGTACATACAGATATCCTTTTATTAGGAGATTCAGAAAGATACAATTTTTTAGCTTCTCTAGGACATTACTGAGCCCATTATTAAAGATTATCCTCAAGATTAATGCACACTACTCTTCATAGTCTTAAGTTTTGAAAATCCACTTATCTGGATTGGGAATCAGCATGGACCGAACTGGTTCCGAAAAACTACCAATACCACCCCACCCTTCCCTCACCTCCCCCCCCCCCCCTGCCCAAAAAAGAGAAAAAAGAAAATGAAAAGAAAAATCGTTCATATTTTTTTTTCTTTTAAACTTCTTTGATGTTGTCTTAGGTATCCCAAAAACCTTTTTCTGTTTTTTATTTTTAAATATCTTCTAGATCAGATCAATTTGAATCGGCGATATAACATAGATCAGTGGGGCAGATGATTCACCCCACTTTTGCAGGTTTTGAAACACTGACAATGATTTTAAAGTTGTGGGTTCTAATTTACAAATTCAATGTCCATTTCTAATTTTCTCAAAATTGCCATCATTGACTTGGAGCGAGGTCTACAAATTTTTAAAAAGTATATGTTACTTGGTATGTATATTTTATGCCAGGTCAGGCCAACCCCAACCCGAAGCGATAGGGTCATGCCGGACGTAGACCCATACCCGACCTGTTATGTCCCACATATAAACCTAGACGAAGTTCGGATTGACCGACTTGATTACCACCCCAAGTTTTTTTAAGATTTTTATTTTTTGTGCCATGAACAGTGACATGTCAAACTAGGGATAATTGGATGGTTGGGGATTTGTCATTTATTATGCACAAAATCCAAAATAAATTTAAAAGTTCAAAATAAATTTTTTAAAATATTGCGATACTTTAATCTAGTGAATTTTACATTTAATAGCTAAATGATTATAAGCTCTTTGCAAAAAATAAAGAATAGAAAATAAAAAATAAAAAATAATAAAATAAAATCTTATGGTACACAATCCCTTATTAATAATACAAAACCAGTTCCATTGGGGATCTTTGGGATCTGTGTATATTAGTGGGGGTTATTTATGGGAGCTGTGTAAATTGTGGAATTGAGAACATTTTCAATGACATTTCATTTTATTGAAGAGAGAAAGAAGTCAAAAACACAAAATGAAGATCGACTGAAGTCATGGCAACGAGAATATTTAAAGGGTGCGGTTTGTAAGAACCAAGGCTCTACGCGCTTTCAAATAGTGTAGGGAAATGTAGTTTTCATACTGAAAATTTTTGTGATTGCTTTAAAAGATATTTTTATCTCTAATTATAAATTTCCGAATTTTAAAAATAGTGTAGATTGAGCAGATCTATGAACACTTGAAAATCTTGAAAATTGACCAAAATGTATCACGAAATGCAAACTGTCAAAAAATTGAAATCCATTTTTTTCTTTTGTCTATGCATCGTGATGTCGAGATGATCAAGTTGAGGATATTTGAGCATCAAAAGAACCTCTTCTAGTGAAATTTTTTAGAGTTAATTTGATTGTTTAGAACCTCTTCTCTATATAAACTTTTTCTATATTTAAGTCATTTTTAGAAACCTTGCGAAATGTATCTTTGGGAAATTATCAAATTACCCATAAGAGATGAACACAACATTTTTTACATATCTTTTCATTTAATTTTAGAATACTTATAAAAAAACGTATGGAATTGAATTGGAATGGTTGAGGATGATTAAAATGTTGAATAGTTCACCTCTTAAAGGCATTTTGGTAAATTTCCCTTCTTTTTTCTTGATATATTATCTTTCCCACTATTAAGAGAATATATGTTACTGAGTTTAATACTTTTTTTAATGCTATTCGAGTTTAATCACAAATGAGTCATGCTTGTGTTTTCTCCTTCTTTTTTCTTTCCTTTGGTTTTTTTTTTTCTTATCCTTCTTCCTGCTCCTTCTTTCTTTCTTCTTCTTCCGATCTTTCTTTCTTTTTCTCTTTTGTTTCATACCCATTTAGTTCTGTCAATATATATATATATATATATATAAATAAATAAAATTATCATAAAAAAAAGAAGATAATTCCATGGACACCGATTCATTGACAAGATACAATATCGCTGGAAAATGCAACGTGCCCCGGACTTTAATTTGCTTTATCTACTAGGGCATAGGTAATGTTTCAAGTGGGCATAGCTTCATATATCGGAGCTCGAACTAGTGAAGGGGGTTGATAATGTCAAAATTCGCCAGATTGGTGGTCAAATTGGTGATCAAATTGGAGAGATCCTTCTTTGAAGAACTTATTTGTGCAAAATAAAGTTGCAGTAATCCACCCAATTCAATTCCTAAAATCCAAGGTCATGAAACCCTAACTTCCCACAACCATAGTAATCATGACATCCTAAACTAACTCTTATTAAGAACATGCCCTAAGTAATAAAAAATTCCAGAAAGAACATGCCCTAGGTAAAATCGCTATTGAAGCTCAAAAAAGCTTCTCATATTCAAGCAAACATCTCAAGAGACGAATGCACTTCAACTAGTACTCTAATCCAGGCCACCAACTCTAAGTTTCAGGCCTGGGAGATCGGCTTCCAAGTAAGTAATTCATTCTTTTTCTCCTTAATTTTCAATGTACTTTCCTTCTTTGAGTGTTTCCTTTAGTTTTCATGGTTTCCTAATGTTTTTAACGCCATCTCATGTGCTCCCTATCCACAGTTTATGAGAAGAGATTCTGTCTTTAAGGACTCATCTTCCCATATACTGTTGTAGATAGCCAAATTTGAAATTGGCTAATTTCCATAAAATCATTCCCCATTTCTAAAACCCTAAATTCCCTAAAACTGGTAATCTTTTACCCTTTTCACCTAAAGCCAAGATTTTAAACCCATCTAATACTCTAAATTAGTTATCTTTAGATACCTAAAGTCATAACCTTTTAAACTCCTTAATACTCATTCAAATTACACTAAAACTTGGCCCCAAATTGTAGAGGAAATCATAAGCTTTCCAATAGTCTAAAAATCATTCAGGTCTGACATAAAAATTATGACCGAAAAAGTTTGTTAGCAGAAATCCTATTTTGGTCCCTGCGACACGGAGTGCGTCTTTGGGCGATGCGATATTCGTTGTTGCCTAATCTGGGTCTTTATTTGCTCTGATAATCTTGGTGGTTCTTGCTGGATGAATCTTTGATCTTCTTAAACTTTTTTTGAAACTTCTGGATGAACCAATCTAAACTTCTTGAAACTTAAACTAATCCATAGAGATAAACCTAGATAATTCCCAATCCCATTGGAACTACCCAAAGTGAGTCCTACACTTCTTGAAACTTAGACTAATCTTTTAAGATAAACCTAGATAATTCCCAATCCAATTGGATCCAGCCAAAGTGAGTCCTATACAAATTCCATAACTTCTCATAAATGATTATTCAAATTTATAGAAAAAATCCCTTAGAAATGAGAGAACCTAGAAAATCTTAGAGAATTCTTATGAAAATACCTAAAATTTCCCTAAGCTGACTTGAAGCCTAGAAATCCTAGCATAAACCTTAGACCTAGGAAACCCTTGAGAGGCCTAGGTGATAGCCAATTCTCTACAAAATCCTAATGTCCAAAACGTTCAAGACCCTAGGATAAATATGCGTTAGGAATTTTTCATTCAAGCAAAGCTCTAGGGTTCAAAGATGAAGCCATTTCAACTGCCAGTCTAATCCGGGCCACCAACTCTAGGTGTTGGACCATAGGGACTAGATTCTTATTATTTTTCTTTAGTTTATTTTCTTGTTTCTCGGTTTCTTGATGGATTTTGCATAATTCCTAATTGGCTCTACTGGCGGTTCCTAGAGAAGGTTGATCTTTTGAAATCAAGATTCTCTTTGAACTCTAATTGACGGTTCCCACATATCGCTATCAAATTTAATTGTTTAAATTTAAAGCATAAATTTGGGGAGGTTTCATTAGAGATTTGAATAGATTTGCACTGTAACCATGTGTAATGTAATTCCATAGTCCCCACTCTATTCTATTAGTTTTTAATGATTCCATTTAAAGCATGAATAAGAAAAAAGGTAAAAGTTTATATAAGGTTGCAACCTTAAAATGTAGAATTAAGGAATTCATTGGGAAAGGTTGTTTAATGTTGGCAAACCATCAAATTGATCATCTCGACATTAAGATGTGAGAGTATAAAAAAAAAAAAAAATTGAGTCCCAAAAGTAGTACATCTTGCAACACATTATCTAGACCGTTCATTTTCAAAATTTTCATAGGTTTACATATCTACTTGATTTTAACCATTTTTAGAATTTTAAAATTTTATAATTAGATATAAAAATATATTTTTAGATAATTCTGAGAATATTTTATACCAAAATTACATATTATGATAAAATTTAAAAGTGCACCTTAATTGAATTGTTGAAAGATACAACCTTATAGAAACCACATCCCAGATAAAATTACACCTAATATCTTCTCGAGATTTGGCTGTAATAAAGTTCTTCAACATTCCTCTTCAAAAGTGAATGCATATATCATGAAAGGTGGGGTCCTCGTATCCAGGGCCAATTGATGCTACCACATCCAATGATTTAACATAGAAAGAGTTGACAATATTGAAAGGTATAACTGCATCCTACTTGCATCAACATGCACTACATTCTCTAAGCCCCTTCTGCCCACGTAACAAAACCCCTTTCCTCTTCCCTTTTGAAGAAGTATTAGATACACATTCTTGGCTTTATTTATTTATTTATTTATTTTAATTTTTTTTTTGAGAGTAAGTTAGTGGGTGAGAAGACCGCTACCTATTTTTTATTAATTAGAAATAGAGAAGATACAAATCATTGAGTTACTAAAGCAATTGAGCCAAATCATTAGTTAAAGACAACAAAATGAAATCCGACTGTCTAGTACGCCAAACTGTAGCAACAGAGAGACCTATCTCCTTCTTGATAAATGTATCTGCTACTATGTTAGCCTCACGGTAACAGTGTAAAATGCTCTACCTATGTTTTGAGAATCAGATACACATTCATGTGATTGTAAAACCTTCTTCTTCTTAATAATACATAACGGTATGCACCTCGACTAAAAGTTGGAGCTTATTTTTGGGCTTTGCGCCAGGTTTGGCCGTGCT